CATGAGTGAAACGCACATGCTGTGCTACGGCAACGCTGTGCGCAAAGATGGCCTATCCACGGGCTTACACCAGGAACTGAAAGTCATAGGTCCAAGCTGTACAGTCATGTAACATTGGGTCTGGAGTGCTTTTCAGCTGACTACTCACAGGGACAAAAAGCGAGTAGAAGTTTTGCAGAGCTTCGCCCTGAAACGCCGCACCGAAGTGGCGATGTCGTTCCTTGGCTTGCGATGTGTTCAGATACAACAGGCTGTGCGATGTGAACAGGGGTTCATACAGCTTGAACAAGTCAGCTAAACACAACACACAACAAGACACACATTACACGGCAAAGATAAGCATACCCGGTATGTACAGCCGTTGTTAGCCAACCATTAGATGACGCCGGGAAGACACATGGGAAACTACTCAGTAGAAATTCTAGGATATAGCATGGTGCAGGTGCTACCTGGTCCCTTCATTGCTCTACAATTAGATTTTCGCTATCAAATACAAAATTCGCCCAGCGTAGAGCAGACTTATGCAACTGCTATACCCATAGTACCCAAAGCAAACTTTACCGAATAGGATGCAAGTGTGTGCACCCTTTCCTTTCTCTCCAACCTCAATATACATAATTTCCAGCAGTGACTCAGGGTTCTAGCCAGGTCAAAAAAGCAAGGGGGGGGGGGGCCAGACGGGCAGGGGAAACAGCTACCCCGTAACCCATTTTACACTTTCCAAAATTGCCTCGCCATGCAAAATGCAACATACGGGGCAAACACCTGCTTCACCCCAGAGAAATGTGCCTTTATGAACCATCTAGTAGTGATTATTGACTGCATTTTCATTGAATGACATGAAAAACACAAAATCGACAAATGAGTAGGGAGGGGGGGGGGGGGGGCTCAATCAGAGTAGGAGGGTGCTGCTGCCCCCCCCCCCCCCCCCCCCTTTGGCTAAAACCCTCGAGACTTTATCGTACAGCGCAGGGTTAACTCACCGGGCCTATTGAAGGATGACTTGAGCTCATCGAATAGTTTCGGCGACGCGGCACTGACAACAAGCTGCTGTCCCAAATGAAATGCGGTCAGTGGTCCATGACGTGCATGCAGGCCACACAGGTAGTCGTGTAGACTGCCTGCTGCTGCAATATCCTGCGCATTACCAGTTCTAAGTGGGTGTGAACACATACAGAAACACACACACACATACACACGCGCGCGCGGACAAACACACACACACACACACACACACACACACACGCACACACTACTCAATTCAAATGACCGAAAGTGGCAAATCACAGTAATGTGTTGACGTTATAGTAATCATTCGTCATGTTATCTACATGAAGGTGATTACTTCCAAAGTAGCTGTCCACTAGCCCTGCACACACAGCAGATACCCCATTCCGTTCACATGATATCTCTGTGAAAAAAGGGAAGTGTGTGGCTGAGTGAGGACCCACTCTGTACAGAAAAGATAACTCTGGACTGGAACCAATTCAGATCAGTCTATCGGTGAGAACACTTTCGTTCCATTCTTACTTGTTGTTACTGGGAAAGTCCCCAGGTATGCCCAGCTCGTTGGCAGCCTTCTTTGTCGTCTACACACAAGAAATAAGACAACAAACAACCAGCATCGTCTCAGACAGTACTCACATTATATACATATAGCAGTGTCTACAGCACTGCAATCGTAAACCATAAACAAGCAAACACAGAAATTGCGTTACTCCTTTCCCAAACCACACCCCAACACTGCGCTTCTCACACCTCTCCTGAAAGTCAGTCAGACCGACTTAGCCACATCCGAAGGAACGTCACCACGGCAACCCAATGGATCAAGGTGAAGATGTAGCTCATAAGCCGCGGTTCGTGCAAGTTGATCATACTCGCCGCAGAAGGGGTCAACGAACTCATTTTAAAACTAATACAGGGGCGTCGGAAGGTATTTTAGTGTGGTACGGTCAGCCATCTGAAGTACAATTTACTTGTGGGGGAGTGGTGGCCGAGCCGAAATTTTTGGAATTTTCGATCCCAGATCAGTGTATTTTCACTATTTTGTTGATTGTTGGTATCTGGGGCAAAAAGTGGTACGGTCAATACCGTAGTGACCGTACCGTGTGCGACGCCCCTGCAATAGCTGCATCCATATTACGCTCGAGCCGGGTCATAGCAACAATACAGTATGCCTGTGAAATAGTATTCCACTGTACTACCTGCACACCCCCCCCCCCCCCCCCCCCCCCACACACACACACGCACGCATCCTGGTACATCTACGTCTACATGATTGTGTCACATACGAGCGGTTGTGCAGCACATTGGTATGTTAGACATGAATAACAATCATGGACTCCCTTGTGATTTGTCAGTTCCCCTGTACAGTAATTCATCACAGTGCAGTCCCTTGACAAGCTCCCAGATAGCTACAAGTTGAAATTGTACACTGATCAATAAACCTGCATCCAGGTGCCGCTACTACAGGTCACAACGTATGAAAACAACACACAGGAAAATTCGAAAAGACAGAAATGTCGAATCCTCACCGGCCAGAACATTATAACCAGCGCCACAAGCAGTCCGAAGAATGCCACAAGGGCAAAGATGACAAATCCCAACATATCAAAGCAGGAGTGACACAAGAGATGCGGGGGATTACCCAACTCCAGCCACAAAGTAACTCCGTAGAAAGAGAGGACGAGAGTGGTAACTGTTTCAAGCCTTCTACGCCATGTACTTCACAGCCTTTGTTTTCCTCCTGAGGGTGGTCTCCTCTCCCAACTTCAAGTGATGTACTTCAATCTCTTCAATCTTCTCTCTCAGCTGAATACACAGCAATGATTTTTGTTTTTGATTCACGACGAGCGAGACTTTCGAGTGACGCATATCACCGCGTGCTTGGTGACGTGCAGTAACCATGGTCGCACACGAAAACCCGCGAGCTTTTGATTTTGGCGTTGTTTTGCAAAGCACCCAAGGCGTCTGGCCTGCTTCATCGCATGGTGACGATCAAAACAGAGAGGAGGCTACAGCATAGGTTGTCGTGAGGGCAGCAACATTCTCGTCCTTGCTCTGATGAAAAGCAATTCAAAAGAAACATGGATGACGATTTAGGAAAGTGCGAGCGGCTCTTTCGAGAAGTCGGCAACCAACTGGACTGGTTCAAGTATCGACCTCAAGACTTGCTCGTCAAGGTACATCTCATTGTGTTTTCAATGTTCACTCGAGAACGCTCCAGAGGATGGGGTCTCTGGCTGCGCTGTGCTTCACACATGCTTGGGTTTCGTGTCAACATACGGGCAGTGATAAATTTGTGTATTCTCGAAACCAGTTCCAAGTTGTTGGGACATTGCAAATATTAATTTTGAATTTCTGTTTATAATAGGGCATGTTCGATTGGTAAGGATCGGGATCAGGATCCAGATCTCAGATCCATCGGATCCTTCAGATTCAACTGAACGCGTTATATTGGACCTTGGCTGTTGCCATGTTGACAATGGCGCTCACAAGTCACCCAAAAGGGTGAACATCGTACTCATCGCCTTCGTCGTACAAAAAGTCAACAAGCTCTATCTCCATCCACGTGTGCGTATCACAATGTGTACAAAAATGATTTTTACCCGCCATATACGCACAAAGGTCACATTTGGATCCGTTGGATCCGGTCAACCCTGCTCCCCGAGGTGGGTTGACCGGATCCAAATCCGAAGGATCCGGATCCAGATTCGACCAATCGAAAGGGTGCGAATCCAGTGGATCTGGTGGATCGGGATCCCGATCCTACCAAACGAACATGCCCATAGTTACTTTCTTCCTCATTGTATTATTTGTACCCAACCAAGCACCACCTGCACTTTATTTACATGTATGCACATCTATTTGTTTTTTTCTGGTGTAGCTCGCCGCACAGATTCGTGAAGAGCAATGCCGTAAGTGTTCTGTTTACATTTGAACTGTAACGTTGAGTGTCAATCGAGTCTTGTATTGTATTCAAATTCTCTTGCCCGGGCACTGATCTGTTTCCTAGGAGACAACATGCTATAACAATTAAGAAAGAGGACACACTGCAGGTTCTTCAACAACAGGTTGAAATTTTACACGAATATACTTTCAAGCCTCCTCTTCACGACTTCAGGTCATGTACAGGCAACAGCAATACTGAGTAGGTAGGACCTATCATCATATGGACGCATGCACCCGACAACACGCACTGCCGCATCTCATTTCACAGCACGTACGTTCCACACGACGACGGAGGGGACGTCCACCTAAAACTCAAGTCATCCAGGTACAATATTATTATTAGAATTCCTTAACTCATCTTTCGTCCTCAACTCAAACACTCTAATGTGTAAGTAACTGCAATGGGGGGGGGGGGGGGGGGGTCTGTGGTCATTTAGAACAGGTGAAATACGGTCCAACACAACGCCACGAACACCAAACAATGTCACCCCATCACAATTGCTATCAGCTATCCATGCTTACAAGGCCAGTGAATCATCATTATTGGAGGTGCCCACGGATGGGGGGATGATGAGATGGGCAGCGGCGGTGGCAGTATCTAAGGCATTGGCGGAGTCAATAGCTATGGCTGAGTCGACTATCCATATGATATCGGATGTGTCCACCTCACAGACTGGTTGTCTTAATGTTAGGTCTGATAAGCACGAGTCGTCGTCCATTGCTAGTCATTTTTTGGAGTGAATTTCGTGCTGTGTTTTTTCTCTATTTTGTCACGTGTACGAAGTGCTAAGTTGTTGAATGCTCTGGAAGTTGTATATTCACACAAAGAAACCTAACCTATGCAAACAAAAGCAGATCACACTTAGGCTGTTAGGTACCGTAGGTCGGCAATAACTCGTTAGTTATGTCCATTGGTTGTCTATTGTTGTCGTACTACATTTCACGCGTGTTGGGTTTCTTCACACTTGCACCTTTTTGCCATCCTCTTCTACGTGTATGGGTCACGCATTTATCGTTGTTGTTTTTAGCTATTCTTCTTTACACTGTTCTATCACCTCTCTGCTGTACTTAGTTCATTGTTCTTGTTTCTCTGCTCTTTCCTGTACGTCATCTGAAGACCAGTGAAGAGAAGGCTTGAAAGTACAAGTATACTCGTGTAAAATTTCAAAATGTTGTGAAAGAACCTGAAGTTTGTCCTCTTTCCTGGCTAATTTCTTAGTATATAGGCATGGCAGCCTATGGCTAGTCATGTGGTTGGGAATACCAAATGCTGTACATGTACTGGATACTAGCACTCTGATGCTTGTTGTATTGTTTCTCAATTTTGTCTCGTAGTGGTACAAGTACTTCAGTAGTGCTTTACAGATTGTGTGTGTGTGTGTGTGCTTCGGTGTGCGCGCGCATGTGTGTGGGCATGTGTGTGTGTGTGTGTGTGTGTGTGTGTGCATGTGTGTTTGTGTCTGTGCGTATGCATGTGTGTGTGTGTCTGTGTGCGTGTGGGTGTGTGCTACAGGCTCAAGATCAGAGGAATTAACAGCCTGTCTTGTAAGTAGTGGCTTTTTTCTGTGCCTGGTCAGGCTCTCTATTGTGTAGTGTAGCCTGTATTTGTCCTTGTGTGCTGGATTTTGACAGCACGTGATATGACAGTGTCTTGATATGTTTCTGTGCGCATGCGCCTGCACATATCTGTCTGTCTCTTTATCTGTCTGTCCATCTGCCTGTGTGGGTACATGCTGCATTTGCTCAGGACGATGACCGGGCTGTGCTGGCCATGGCTGATCCGCCTCCAACCGACACTCGCCGTACGACCGTGTCTCGGGTCCGTCACAATGTTCACAATGCTGATCTTGCTGACTCCATGGCGTCCATGCAGCTGAAGTCAAACACTCCGGATACAGACAACTCAACCAGTAACGCTAGTACCATCTCAGCCAAGAACCCCGGGCCAGACTCCGATCCAGCCAAGGTCAAAAAGAAGAAAGCGACGAAAACCATCCCTGCCGAAAAGCCGTTCAGTTTCTTTCCGACTCCGCAGCCAGCCACTGCAACAGCATTGACTACTTCTCAACAGAGTGTTGATCTTGGTGGCGGTGACTCGACTATACCCAATGTGCCTGGGGTGTTATCAGCATCACCCCCTGGCAAGGCCAAACGCACACAGCTGGACGGCTCGCCAGAGTTACTCACAGCCAACGTGACACAGCACAACACCAAGCAGTCATCACCCAGCCCTACTGACTTGCCCTACCCAAGTAAGCAGCTGTTCGGCTCTGCGACGGATACTACAGCGTCCAACACCTCACAATCTGCGTCGACACACGAAGCAAGAAACGGCATCGGCAGTGAGTCCATCATCTCTGATGATCACAATGATGCGGAATGCCCAGACCAAGACGATGATGTCGTGCTTTCCCCATCACCATTGCCAGCGTCACCTGAGGTGCAGCAGAGTGTCGACGAACAGACCACTGCAGCGGGCAAGTGGTCACGGATACAGGCCCTAGATGACAGTGATGCTGGCGATGTGGAATTGTGCACATCTGCCCTGGACGACATGGACTTGAATCCCACCGCTGTGGATATCACCATGCCAGCACCACCACCACGCCACCGTGCCCGACATCAGATTGTAGACTCGAGCTGTGAGAACAGCCCGGTAGTGATTGAACGCAAGCCTCGGCGTGATCTATCTGACCAGCTACGGCGGCCCGAGCAGAACACTCGTGGTCATTTCATTGTCTCGTCAAGTGAGTCCAGCGATGCTGAGGATATACCGAACACAACTGGGCAAGCCGAGGGCATGGGTGTTGCAGCCATTGTTGATGTGTCGGATAACAGTGCCAAGGTGGATTCGGACAGTGCATGTGTGGAGGTGAATGTTGCCAATGATCCTCCTCAGTGTTTGTCTGCTGGCCGAAACTCACTGTCACCTGGGCATCTATCCGACTGCAAGGAACCAAGCCACGGGGAAACAGAAGCTGCCCATTCTACACTGCAGGTTTCGGAGCATCTGCCGGGCGCAAGGGCAGTTGCTGACTTTTCACTTTCTCTCTGTGACGATAGTGGTTCAGATGGCGACGTCGAAGAGGAGGGAAAGTGCATGGATAAGTCATTGCCATATGCCGATAGTCCTAGTGGCGTGCCTGCTGTGGCTGCTTCCTGGCATGCTGATGAAGCTGTAGCTGTAAGTGCTGATGGATCAATGGCTGGCTTTCTGGACGACCAGGCTATGGAGCACAACGGTAGCCTGGAGTCGGATGACGAAGGCAATGATGACTACGACTATGGTGATAGCTTTATCAATGATGATGATGGTGATGAGGAGGAGGAGGAGGATGATGGGGAAGAGGACAGCAACGGCGGCGATAATGACAATGTTGTTGGTAGTGATGTTGAAAATGGTGGTGTAGAGAGTGCAAGTGACATGGATGCTACACATGACTATGGTGTTTGTGATGATGCCACTGGCAATGCTGATGACGCCACTGGCAATGCTGATGAAAGTCTCCTCATCTGTGTAAGCGATGACGAACAGTGTGCTGCTGTGTCTACTCCAAGCCATGAAGACAGCCCTACCGATGGTGTTGTGGCTGCCACTAGCAGTGCATCGCTTGGTTATGATGTGTCAGCTGTGCTAGATAGCCCACGCATAGACTTCATCCACCATGATGGCTCGTTGTCGTTCGTCCTGCCATCTAGTGCTGGGTCAACTCACCATCGCTCTCGACTACTACCTTCTTCCTCCCGTCTTCAACACACGCCGGCTGGAACAACGGAAGAGTCTGATGATTCTGCCCTTGTTAACCTGTGTATGGACATGGAGAAAGAGCTGTTGGCTGCAGAAGTGCAGCAAAATGGCATCGACGGCTGCGAGGGCATCGACGAAATGCCTTGCACCCAGGATTATGTGGGTGATGATCGGGCCAAAGATAGTCTTCATTTACCTGGAACATCATCACTGTATGGCATTGATGGCAGTTCGCCCAGTCTACCAGCTGTTGCTGCTACTGCTACTGTGCCACTGAATCAGACTGCTGCTAGCACTGGTGCCGGTGGTATGGCTGGCAGCCATCCTGATCGAGCGCATCCTGCTGCAGGCTCGGGCCCTTCACCTCGTTGCCAGCCGCGTGGATCTACAGCACGTAGAAGGTGGGTACTAGGGATTGTAAGCGCATGCAGCAGACAAGTTCTATACCGTTGCACATTGTGTTCAGTGTCCTGCACCTCTTCAGTCAGATGTGCGTCCATGCTAGTAATATTAGTAAGCTGCTCATCGTGCTGCTTAGCACTCAGCTCTGCCTATATACCATTATTCTTAACGCCTCTGTAGCGGTACCTCTGGGTACCAAAATAATGTTGGTCAATCACTCAGCCTTGCAAACTGTTGAATGGTATCATTCGAACACAAGTCTAACATGGCATGTTCACTATCATAGCTTTGGGGCGATGAGTATTAACGTGTGTGTGTGTGTGTGTGTGCGTGTGTGCGTGCGTGCGTGCGCGCGCGTGCACGTGGATGTCATTACACCTGTGCACATCTCTGTTTGTGCATGTATGCGTGTGTGCACGTGAATGTCCTTACGGCTGTGCGCATCTGTGTGTGTGTCCATGTTCATGCTTCTAGCGTTATTCTAGTTTCTGACAATGACTCTGACTCCGGCAGCGAGAGCAACGTTCTACACATGTCCAAGAAGCCACTTCACCCAGCTGCCCGGGTTGACAGCAGCAGTGATGATGACTTTGAGAACTGTACGTGACAGTGTTGTGTTGTTCTCTTGTCCGAGGTGTTTAGACAAGTGCAAGAAAATGGCAACTTGTGTTCTCTCTTTGCACAGCAATAGACACTGATTCCTTTACCATTGACTTTCACAGCTTTTGTAGCTTTCACGGCTTTCAAGAGCTATCACAGCTTTCAGAGCTCTCACAGCTATATTGTTGTCCTGTTCTTTGAAAGTATGTTCTCCTGACATCGTAATCGTGCACTCTTCAACCAGATTCATTTCCCCCAGCATGCAGTGTTGACTGAGAAACACTGCGGCGCATCACCAACGACACTCATTTCACTCTTTCACCATTTCATCATCCACCTCCTAAATCTAGAGGTTCTCAACTGGCTGAATCCATATATCTGTAGTTCTTTGGATCTGCAACTCATGCAGCCTGGCTGCATTGCATCTTGCCATTCTATTTTATAACAGACTCCCACAGGATTTCATTGAACTGGTTAATCCCCTCCCTCCCGAGCAGCTGCACTGTTCACAAATTGTTGGCACAACTGGTTGTCATTGGATTTGAGTTGGCTCGCTTTCCCCAGTTGTAGTTATTTCGGCCCGGCCGCCTATCATGGCTCCGCAGGAACCACCGACCACTGGTGCAGCATCATTCAAGGAATTTCTGTACTGTAGCATCGAATCAGGGATCTGTGTAGTGGCGAGCTGCACCAAATAACCACTCATGCGTACTACACTACCTGTGTGTGTGTGTGTGTACTGTCTGTTGTATTTCATTCCTTTCCGGCAAATTGTGTCGGTCGTTCTCCTGAACTATTCAATCGATTGCACCTACTGATGTAGCTAATAACTCGTCGTTTCTTGAGTACGGGTGTGTGTGTGCGTGCGTGTGTGTGGGTGTGGGTGTGTGTGTTTGTCTGATATGCCATACCCGCCCCAACTCGGGATGTGAGCGAGACCAGAGTCCTTATACACCGTACACCGTATCATTGTACTTTTGCACATGGAGAGTCTGAAGTTTCGGCGCTACGAAGCCATCCACGCCACTGCTTTAGTAATACATGCATGTTCAACTGCATGCACTTTCCAGCGTGGGTTATCCTGCTGTAATGGATGTGTTTGGTGTGTTCGTTGTGCGCTTTCTGCTGCTTTAGTTCTTGTGGAGTCTAAGACACCCCGAGCGTCGAGACAGCCGGCCTCTCATAATGAGTATGTTCTGCCATATCTTCTGTGATATCACTCGCACATGTGCATGTGCGAACACACGCACACACACACACATACATACATACATACATACATACATACACATGCAGCCAAGATTTTGTCTAGAACAGAGTACTTCACGTGCTTGGTAAGCAGTTGCTAGTGAGTACCTTGGCTGGGCATTACGCCTCTCTCTCTCTCTCTCTCTCTCTCTCTCTCTCTCTCTCTCTCTCTCTCTCTCTCTCTCTCTCTCACTCGCTCTCTCTTCCTCTATCTCTATCGATCTCTCTTTCTCTCCCATGTACATGTGTGTGTTTGTGCGATTGTGACTCCGTTTTTAGAGTACATTCTGGAGACGTAGGGCATTCTTTGCATTTGTGCTTGCAGGTTGGAAGATTTCATCGTTGCTGACGATGACTGCGGTGACTTTCTTGCGGGTGGTTCCTCTGACGAAGAGGAAGATCATGTTGCTGATGAGCCAGGACAAAGTTCGAGTATACCTTTCTCAACACCTCGTCCTCGCTGGGAGATGTCAACACCTTGGAAGACACCGGCAGGTTCTGATATGTTCACACCTTGGAAGACATCTGCTGCAGGAAGTGATGATCGAGAAAATGATGTTCCTGATGATTGGCAAGTTCCTCCGTCGACGAAAGGAGGTAGGTGTGCTCCAGTGAACACATCGATCTTATTACTGAGAATCGAATGGCTCTCCAGCTATGCTGCTTGCTATAAACCAATAAAAAGTAGCACATGTCTTCAGCAAATGTGTATATCGCCAATACCTGGCTACATGCAAGCAAGCTGTGACTCTGTTTCTTCCTTGCTGCAGTCTAGCACTGCTATGTATTGGAACTGACAGCTGGGTTAAGTGTGTGTGTGGGCGTGTGTGCATGTGTGTGTGTGTGTGGTGTGTGCCAGCTAGTTTGGTTGGTAGGTACACTTATGCCTGATTGTGTTGGGTCTGTTGCCAACAGGCTCGGCTGCTTGAAGGTGTAATGTTGTACCTGCCACCTTTGTTGGTTCCAGGGTTCATATACTTTCTATTTGAAGTATACATACCTGTTAACCATGGACTGCTTCTGGCTAGATTAACTCTTGTGTAATCAATGGTGCTAGTGAAGCTTTTATCAGATCCACTCTGATTTAGCCACTCACACTAGTAGCAAGTATTACCTTCACTGGGGGCAGGGGTAACTGCAGTTGTATCCTGGGACGGATACCCTGATACCGTCAAACCTTTTTCTGCACCTTGTCCTCACCCACTTACTGAGGTGTGGTGAGCCCATAAGTGGGATCATTTTCAAGTCCACCCAGAGTTTTGGGGATTTCAGGGGTGTCGGCCGTTGGGCGGTTCAATAACCAATTGAGTCATCTTTCCAAGATTCCTTTTGAGTCTCTCTCCCCTCTCCCGGGGGGACTCACGTGACCAGTTTTGGTAGTGAGCAACAAGTACAGTACAGTACAGTGTGTGTGTGTGTGTGTGTGTGTGTGTGTGTGTGTGTGTGTGTGTGTGTGTGCGTGCGTGCATGTGTGTTTTTTGCAGGTCACCGCCCGCCTGGCCTGAGCAATGTTGATATTGTCCGAACTCCCAAGCGCCTTCCAGCCAGCACCCCTGTACCAGCCAGTGCAGCTGCTTTCAAAAGATCACGCGTGTCGCTGTGTCAGCGCTACTTCCAGCTTTTCAACCACTCTGTTTTCTCAAACAAGGTACCAGTATTCACTTGTTTCTCTTTGTCTTGTGTCAAGCTCTGTGATAGGCATTGATGTTGGGCCGAGAGAGAGAGAGAGAAAGAGAGAGAGAGAGATGTGTGTCTGTGTGTCTGTGGGTGTGCTGAGTGCATCCACCCTCACTAGACTTGAAGTCCCGGTTCAGACACGGCACATAGAACGTCCACCTTGGCACGATTAGCGAGTTTAATTTCCCGGTCAAAGGTGACATTGTACACTGCAGTTACTGGTGCAATTCTGCCATCAGTTCTGTGCCTGTGTTCCCAATGCTGGCGCTGTCAGGTTCGAAGTACGCTGCAAGACCACTGAGAGATGGTAACTGCAGCTTTCCAGCCTTGCTTATCTAGCTTGGGTCGCTACCTACTGTTCTCCAGTCTCAACCATCCATTTTGTAGTTTCTGGTGGCGTCTCGACAAACTCAAAGCTTCACTAAAGCTGCTCGCGCTCGGGTCACTACTGCATAATTCTAGTTTTTCAGCATGCCATAAATGACTACACTACACGTGCTGTTGGTGATCACATGATCTGACATGTATGTGTTTGCATGTCTGCTTATTGTTAATGTCTGTGTTTCTTTTATTACACAGCTCCCGGCGGATATGCGAATAACTTGGAACAATCGCATGAGAACAACATCAGGATTCTGCTACACCAAACGGTATGTGTGGATAACTTGGATTCGCAGCTTCTGTTGGAATGGATGTTGGTTGGTGGGGTGTGTACACCCGAATCCTTTTTTCTACCGATAAATTTAGGTGACGAAATAGTGATTGCGACTTCGGCGATGATTATTTGGAAAAGGTTTGCTCCCCACACTGGAGCTCGTGCTATTCCGCCAACTTCACTTGATACTTGACTGACTTACGACTGCCAGTGCCATCTCGTGTGCTCTGGATGGCAGTCGTGAGCCGCGAGCTCCAGTATGGAGAGCAACCCCTTTCCGAATAAATTTAGGTTACTGTAAAACGACAAACTTTCGCGGCGGCTAAATTTAGCGTTTTGGCAAACTGGACCAGTTAGCGGCGATTAATTTTAGCGATTTTTACCTTCCACTGAAAATCTTCAAGAATTTTATTTTACGAAGTCTCGGAGTGCTGGGACGCAGAGCGCACGAAGAATGAGAGAAGAAATCAAAGAATGAAAGAATGAATCAAGGAATCAAAGATAATCATAAGGTGAGTACTAGTACTGCAGGAAAGGATGGCGTTTTCGAAGAGGGATCATCGGAAGGCTTTCTCTTCGAACTGCTGAGCCACTGCGATACTAATGGCGATAAAATTCAGAAGACTTCTTCGAGCAGTACAACACTAAAATCTACGCAACAGCAAGCTGGCCAAACACTCTCCACAACACTGAGACATTCTCCAGTCGATCGTTTTATTCTCTTCTACAATTCTGTTCAAGTCGCCGTACTCCAACGACAACTAGGAAGACTAGTGTTGGTACGTAACTTTCAACAGCTGCGCGCTTTGGACTTTAGCCGTGCAAGCATCGATCAGCGCTAGTCCAGAGTCTATGCAGTGCATGTACAGACAGTGCACGATCGATCATCGACGCATCGCGTAGTACATGATTGTACAAATTTCTTATTCGCGTGTCAAACTTTCGCGATTCGGCCCTGCTCGCGAAAGTCGCGAAAGTAAATCGCTCGCGAAAGTTTGTCGTTTTACAGTATACAGAAAATTCATATTCTACTTTGAACCTCTTCCTGTGACACTTTCTGACACTTGCTTGTGGTTTTTTATACCTTTGTGTAGAAGTTCGGCTGGTGAATTCACGGCCTGGATTGAGCTTGCTGATAAAGTGTGCGACAGTGAAGGTAATAGTTAGTCTGGGCTTGTTCGTGTTACAGCTTAATTCAGCCTTGTTCCGTTGCTAGCTTGTGTATCTATCTACCTCTATCTTTCTCACCATCGCTCTCTCATTCTCTCTATCTATCTATCTCTCCCTCTCTCCCCGTTGAGACATGCTTTCCACTTCATGTAGCTCAACATCTTAGCAGTAGTCCTCTCACCCGCACTAGTCAAGTTACAATCAGCCAGGGAAACCCAAGGTGCAGGATGTGCTCGACTTTGCTGTTAGAAGAATAGTGCATTTGTGTGAATTTGTGTCTGTGTTCTTCTGTTTATACACATGATGTGCTCTGTTCTTTATATGGTTTTAATACTGTGTGGCTGTGTGTGCGTGCGTGCGTGTGTGCGTGTGTGTGTGTGTGTGTGTGTGTGTGTGTGTGTGTGTCCTTTGTGTGTGTCCTTTGTGTGCATGTACATGTATGTGTGTGTTGGTGTGTGTGTCCGTGTTTGTGTGTGTCCGTATGCCTACATGCATCTGTGTGTGTTTGTGTCTGTGTGCATTTGTACATGCACGTGTATGCACACAGAGCGACTGCGTGACACCCTGCTACATGAGATGTGCCATGCGGCGGTGTGGCTGATTGATAGGATACGCGGTGGTCATGGTCCAGCCTTCAAAGCATGGTATGTGCACCAATCTGGGTAGGCCTGTGCCTGTGTGGGTTTGGGTGGGTTTATAGGAGGTGTAGGTGTGTGTGTGTGTGTGTGTGTGTGTGTGTGTGTGTGTGTTCATGAGTGCATGCGTGAGGGGAGGGGCACATGCAAGTACTATGTAAAGGAGACTGGAGAAATATGGTAGGTGCATGATGAACCTGGTCGTCATAGGTCATGTCTGGTGAATGCTGAACTGGCTTACTGCTTGACGATGGCATTTGATTTGTTATGGTTTGACTTGGAATGCGTGTTAGGCTGAACGTTTTGCTTCTTTTGTCTTTGTGTGCTGGGTGATATTTTGTTGTCGTCGACAATACTGCTTGTGTGTGTGTGTGTGGAGCTTGATATGACTCTGATAGCTAGTTCGGAGAACTCTGTGTGGGGATATTAATCACATGACCACGCTACAGCAAGCCCAATGCTCGAGAGCGGGTGGATGGCTTAGCAGTACACTACGTATACAGTGCTGCTCAGTGAAAACCGATTGTGTGTGAGTCCAGTTTGCCTGGCACCATTCCGTAGCCCAGTGTTCACAGATCTAAGTCTGCAGAGCACCAGGCGCATACTAGGCCCACGCCATCGTATCTCATTGATCAGCACTGCAAATCTGTGGGGTATGAGCGGACCGGACCGGAGAATTGATCTCCAAGTCCTTGTTACAGTGGTCCTGTCTCTGAACGCGTTTGTCTTGATTTCGTTGTGAATTGTTCACAGGGCGAGGATTGCACTGCGTGCACATCCAAATATCCCGGCCGTCTCCCGCTGCCACAACTACAGCATTGCCACCAAGTATAGCTACAAGTGCACTGGATGTGGGTTTGTGTAAGTGCTTCTGGAAACTATGTGTGCACTGCAGAATTGTTGTGTGGTGTACAGACTACAGTACACCAGGCAGGCATATAGCGTTGGTCATACAGAATAGTTGTGTAGCCTGCTATGCCTTGTGACTGTACAGTATGCACCGCAGTGTCACTGATGCTGTGTGTGACCTGCTATGCCTTGTGACTGTACAGTATACACCGCAGTGTCACTGATGCTGGTGTGTGACCTGCTATGCCTTGTGACTGTACAGTATACACCGCAGTGTCACTGATGCTGGTGTGTGACCTGCTATGCCTTGTGACTGTACAGTATACACCGCAGTGTCACTGATGCTGTGTGTGACCTGCTATGCCTTGTGACTGTACAGTATACACCGCAGTGTCACTGATGCTGTGTGTGACCTGCTATGCCTTGTGACTGTACAGTATACACCGCAGTGTCACTGATGCTGGTGTGTGACCTGCTATGCCTTGTGACTGTACAGTATACACTGCAGTGTCACTGATGCTGTGTGTGACCTGCTATGCCTTGTGACTGTACAGTATGCACCGCAGTGTCACTGATGCTGTGTGTGACCTGCTATGCCTTGTGACTGTACAGTATACACCGCAGTGTCACTGATGCTGGTGTGTGACCTGCTATGCCTTGTGACTGTACAGTATACACCGCAGTGTCACTGATGCTGGTGTGTGACCTGCTATGCCTTGTGACTGTACAGTATACACCGCAGTGTCACTGATGCTGGTGTGTGACCTGCTATGCCTTGTGACTGTACAGTATACAGTAACTTATGTGCCACAGTTATGCGCGGTCTTTGTGAATGTGAACTGCAGTCATGTTCAATCATCTAATTGCACCCATGCTCCGTCCAGCGGAAGCTGTGTGAGCTTGCAGTGGCACTTGCTGTGCTCTGATGTCACACATATGAACCCAGTGCCATTGTCTCAGCCACCAATCAGCCTCCCGTATCTCTGTTCGCAAGGCAGCTTCTGGATTGTTTCCAGCTACTAATAGCTCCTAGCCCAGCCCAGCCAATTGGGAGAAGGGAATTGATTTGAAGTTGAATAATTATCACAAATGGTGCTCTCCGTCTAATGAAGTCCTGCTGGTATTGAAGCCTCCTGTTCTTTTTCCTCTGACTCAACTGTGCAGGTGTGATGTTTAGTGTTCATTGAGTGTGTATTTTATGTGTGTTTCTTTCCCTGTGGCTGTCCTGTTCTGGCAGAATTGGCCGCCATTCGAAAAGCATCAATACAGAGAAACAAGTGTGTCCGTATTGCCTCAGGTATGTGTGCAGGTGAAAACGTCATCACTCTGTTTTGCTTTGTATTTAGGCTGCCGATTCTTGTTTTCAACTTCAAGTGTCTCTGTTTTGCTCTCTTATCTGTGTGTGTCCATCATTTGCTACATACTTTCTCATTGTGCCTAATCATCTCTCTCTCTCATGTATGTGTGTGTGTGTGTAGCACACTGGAGCTGCAGTCTGGTGCCAGTGGCAAGCAGGCCAGCGGCTTTGCTCTCTTCGTCAAGGAGAACTTCAAGTCTGTCAAGAGCTCTATGCTACAGGGAAGCAGTCATGGCGACATTATGGCTGAGCTCGGTGTCCGCTACCGACAGAGTAATGCTGCTGCTCAGGGCAATATCAATGACAATGCTGCTGTCTGTGCCAGTTGAGTGCAGCAACCAGTGGAGTGAATGCTGTGTGCTATACACTCCTCCTATGCCAGCCCCCCGATCAAAGCCACATCATGGCTGAGCTGGTTGTCCGCTACCGGCAGAGCAATCCTGCTGCTCATGGCAACAGCAACAGCAGTATAAATGCTGTCTGTGCCGTTTGAGTGCAGCAACCAGTAGAGTGAAGTAGAAGCCGCCTATGCCAGCCCGCCAGTCTTGGATTCATGCTTCTCCGTACATGCCTCAAACTCCGTGCTGTCCTGGCATGCACTTCGTACTGCTGCATTGTATTCGACTTGTATGACTACCAGTTGCTTGGTTCGGGATATGGAATTGTTCCTGTGATGCTGGTGAATGTTGGCATTTCACCGCATGATCGCCGACCTGTTATGTATGGTGTGTCAGGTAATGAAGCACACGTGCTCTGGATATGCTGCTATCAGGCTGCTACTTTTGCTGACTGTGTTTCTGCTACTTCACATGCCACTAGTGTCCAGAGTAGTTATAGGCTGCGAGTGTGTGCTTTTATTCTTTCTTAGTTTCGTGGGACATTTTTTAGTAGTAGTCTTTAAACTTTTTGGTGAAACATTCTTTTCTCTCCCTGCAGCCTGGAGCTGCCAGGGTTTCTGCATCAGTCAGGACACTAAACGCGATATCAGGGAGCTGGCCTGCCCTTTTTATCTACAGCCCTGGCCAGATAATCCAACCACATGCGCTACAAGTACTTTTATTCACGAGGTATGATTTCTCTGGCATGTACATTGTATGCGATCGCAAGTTTTCTACTTTACTGTATTTATAGCTCGTTCTTTGCTTACTCAAAAATGCCAGCCTGTGTGTGTGTGCGTTGTACAAGCCAGGTCCATCGACTAAGCACTAGCACTGTGTGTGTAAGTTTGATTGTGATGAAATGCATGGAGAGAGCAATTGGTGCATGCATGTGCGGCGGAGATGTGGCTGCATTTAACCCCCCCCCCCCCCCCCCCCTGCGTTATTGCGCAAAAGACTGTGCGGCACACAAATCACGTACGGTACAGCTGAGAGCTTGTCCGTGAAGTTTCAAATGGTCTGAATTGGTTCTATCTGTCCCCCGTGAATTCCGCGGCAGAATATCAGAAATTCCGTGCAGAATTCTGCGGCTGAAAACAATAAATTCTGCAAATCCTTCTAAATTCTGCGGCAATTCTGCAAAGGAAAATGAGTGTAAAACAGATCGAATTTCCGCAACCCCACTGAAGTTTGTTGCCCCTATAAATTCTGAACCAAAATTACGCGAAACCCTGGTCAAAAAATTGAAACGTCCAAAATATGGTGCAAGTTGATTTCGAAAGTCACAAGCAGGTTGGTTGGGCTGTGAAAAATACATCGAAAATCTCCAGAAAAAGCAGTTGTTCTCTCTTCACTACTGGATTCTGTGGAAATTCTGCAATCCGCGGAATTCACGGGGGACAGAATAGTGATGATATGCAGCGCAGATTGGGTACACATTATCATATTTCTGTGCAACACATGGCTCCGCTGCTGTTCCCACATGCGAGCTATCCCGCTCGAGTAAAGCTGCTCAATCCTGCTCAATGGTGTACAGTTTGTTGAGATGACGATGGCCTGCTGCTGCTGCATTTCTGCGCGACATGTCACTGTGCAGAGCACCTGGCAGTGTGATTCAAGGTCGCCCTCTGCTTTCGCTGGTGCCAGATCTTCCAGGTTCATCATCCGGCAGATGGAGAGCATGGCGAAGTAGGCGCAAATGAGCATTCTCCACGGTTATGGATATCGTCGCCTGCTCAGCGCCTTCGTTCTGTACAGCTGCAATTAGAGATGATGTTAGCCTATATATCTCGCTTATCAACTTCCGTAATTGCTTGCAATGAAAGATATCAAGTCCCGAGTTTGTATGAAATGTCACCATAAGTTGGAATGTGGTCCATGCATTGGTATGACATTTTACATTCAAACAAGGCCCTGTATAAGTATTATGTGAATGGATACTATCCATTTGAAGGCCCTGTACATTCAAATGGTGCCTAAGCATTTTGACTAGTGACTTGTCACTTGTTACTGACAACTCCATAAGCTAAGCCATTCAAAACTTATTACACAGTATGATAGTCTGAAGACTAGAGTAACGTTCCAGGACAGTTGGACTGAGAGTTTTCATGCAGAGATGAAGTCCTCGTCGTCGCTGATGTCAATGGACGCAAAAATATTGTTCCGAAATATTTCAAGGAAGGTTGAAAGTTGGTCGCGCCTCATCTCAAACGCTTTGACTTTCTCCACAGGACAAGAGCTGCTATGCTTGTCGTCTGCTAGCTCTGGATGATTTCTACTTCACCACCAACGAAGCCTAGTAAGAATACACGATCGTTGCGAGGTCGGTTGATTACCGTCGGCGGACTCTCCTCGATCTTGAAATGAACTTTTTTTTAGCCGTGGCATGCCCATTTATTTTAGCTGTGTGGTCACAGCTCATGCAGGTAAGTGTACTATCACGTCCAGCGCGCCCTCTTTTTCAGCATCACTGGTACAGTCAGACCTCGCTTAACCGCACACATCTGTTTTCCACAAAAATATCCGGATAGGCGAGGGAACCGGATAACTGAACACACATACTGTATATATATATGCATGTGGCATGTCAAAAGCAGTGACATCATACATACATGTAGACAGGTCCTATGCAGTACAACTAGCGTGCACTGCCCAGTATGTAAAACAAGCGAGAAAAATGACAAGTGCTGTCCACATGCACCCAGCAGGTCAAGGACCTCATTTGCCTGTACAACTCCCTGATTCTAGCTTCTGCAAGTGCAAGCCACATGTACATGCAACCGGATATGACGAAGCTTTTTCTACACATTTTAACTGGTTTGTACACAAAATCATGCACCGGTATGCGGATCGCGAGGTCTGGTTATGTTGTATGCATAACATATGCTGCACATCGGTAACCAGCGATTTTCTTCCGGATGGCGAGGGATCCGGGTAAACGAGGACCGGATAAGCGAGGTCTGACTGTATACCATGGTACGGCACCTGCGCGTGCATCACTAGCACTACGTGTAGAGTCTACACGTACACGGTTCTTGCGGGTACAATCATGTACTGAGGGTCTCAGCCAGAGCGACAAATTTTATCGCTGTTGCAGGCATTTAGTTTTCTGACCCCTCGATGTTTCTCCAAGCGCTGCCACTTGTTCCACAAAGTCATTCTCACCCCAGCTAAGGTAAAACAGTGATGAGGCTTGAGTTAATGGCCATAAGCACGAGAAATGTGCAGGCCTGAACGCCTGACTGATCTCAGCGAGTCGAAATTACCATCGCAGCGACATCAGCGAAGAAATTGCGTCTAGTTCAAAAATTCCAGCTTCCAATAACAGAAAAGAGAACTTTGCCGTCACCCTATACTGATGATTATCGCCTATGTCCGATTCCTTGCCTCTGGTACGAGTGCTGGTGAGTAAATACCCCGTTTTATATCAAAAGTCAAACTGCGACAATTCCGATGACGCGGAGGAAGTAGTAACTGATGCCAACTATACACATCATAGTTGTATTTGAATCTCACCGTGGCCCATGCATTTGAAAATTTGAATGGTAGCCGGCCCAACTTTTGTTGCCTATATCCGAATGGCAACCATAATTACATTATAATTTTAAAAAAAGGGAGCCATACATTTCAATAGAGATTAGATACCCATAATCATATTTGAATAGGGTCTAGGTACGTTCGGGCCTGGTTTAAATCTTTGGAAAATTCATTTTTCATTGCTATCAGGTTCGGCCTCATTTTCTCTGTGCTGCGCTGATGAGTCCACAAAGGACGAAACAGTTCTGTCAGCAGATTGAGTATTTGAATGGGGTCTCTTATTGTTTGGGGTCTATACATTACGAATCTTATTGTTTAGGGTCTATACATTATGAATAAGAACTATACATATGAAAGGAGCCTGGCATACATTAGGATGGGGTCCATACAGTTTCAATAGAGGCCCATACTTTTGAATGGGGTCTGTACATTAGAATAGGAACCATACATATGAATGGAGCCTGGCATACAGTTGGATGCTATCCATACACAGTTTCAATTGAGACCCATACTTTTGAATGGGAACCATACATTTGAATGTAGTCCACATACATTTGAATGAGCCCACACAAGCCGCATACAGAAAACAAAATGGCTGCCAAACCTGAAAAATTTGGGCATAGGTCTGTTGCTTTTTCCACTTTTTGTATGATTTTTTTAGGTATTTTGGATTTCCTTATATGTACATGCATATTATGACTATACCCCAATCATGATCTAAATTTCAAAGACTTAGTGAGTTTTAAAGTTTCCCTCCCCATTGACAGGTGTTCCGTTCCATTTTTTGGGTCAGCAATGAGACAAGGACATGGGTATGTGGCCATTTTTGAAGTCTGGAAAGCCAAAATGTCATGCAATTTACATGACCCGAAAGATTACAGGCTCAACTCATGATCCATGCTCATTGCTGATTCATTGACAACATTGAAATAATAAAAGGAGGGGAAGCTGCTGGCGACTCCATGACGAGGCCTTCATTGACGTTCCAAGCCGTACCGAGAACCTGTATATGCGAGCTAATACATCTACAAATTAGTGAACAGCGAATTAGTTTTACACTCCAGACATCGATAATATGAGAAGGGCGCATATGCCTTTGAAGTGTGTATCCATCACGGCAGATGCCAGGTAGGGCCAAATCTCCATCGGCACAAGCCATGCAAGCGGTCTGCAAGTAATTCCAAGGATATGGGGGGGGGGGGGTTCTGGAGATAAAAGTCTTGAAAGACATACATACCCCTAGAATGGGTTGCTCCCACAACATTTGCATGTAACGGAATCTCAGCCATTCCGTTCCCCGGGACGCAGGACACAAAGGACAAGACTGGTTTGTTACATTATTTATATTTGGACATTACGGAAATGGAGACAACACTCAAAGGGACGAACAAGAAGACTGACAAAAGGACTCTCGACTACAAAATCGCGCATGCTCATATCACACATGCACGCGACTAGACGAGACAGTTTGGGGAATGCCATCACACAGGAAAACAACACATCATTTCACAACACCTGCCCCCTTGATGACATTCCACAAAATAATAAACGGACACCACGTTCCACATGCACAACAGCAAAAGGAACCACAGCAGAACAGAAAAACGAAAACCAACCATCAACCTAGAGCCGACGCTCTAAAATAATATCCGGGCCACGAAACAGGGCCAAACAAAAACCTAGAGCCGACGCTCTACAACCAGGCCACGCCACACAAGGCCAACCGAAACACGGGAGCCGAAGCTCCAACAAAATAATAACATGCGCACAGCCGCACCAAATAAATCTACAACAAAACCAATGGAGAACAACAGAACGAATAGAAGAGCAACAGACCGACAACAACCAAACTGAAACAACACAGCAACAAGCAACGAACTGAACAGAGAGAGAACAACACAGCGAGCAAGACAACAAGACGAACAACAAGGACGACACACAGTCGGTGACGCCAGACTCGTCCACTGTCCTCTGGCGAGCCACGGCCACACGCTCCGTCGCGGTTCCTGCCGTCTCAGGCTCCAGTCCACAGTGACTGTTCTAGTCCATCACCTTCTCTGCCTCCTCTCCGCGTCGTCTTCCGCTCCCACCAGCTCTTCACCTCCTCCGCTCCCACGCTCTGTTTACTTCAAAGTAACAGTTACTTCGTTGTTGACGACGACGAACAGACTCATTACAAACTAACTCATCCTCTGCGTCCCGGGTTTCGGCACCACGTTGTAACGGAATCTCAGCCATTCCGTTCCCCGGGACGCAGGACACAAAGGACAAGACTGGTTTGTTACATTATTTAT